CACCACTGAGCAAGAGAGCAAGGAAGCGTGATCTTCTGGGTGACACTGGACGTCACCATGGTAACAACCACTGCTTATTTCCCAGTTAGGTCTTTTGGGGGGAAACATAGTATACTTTCTAAAAGCTGTAATGTAGAATATTTATTGCTGTATTGTAAATGCATGTTAATTAGCATCTCTTTATAAGTAATAGAAAAGTACTCAAGACTGAAGATGCATAAGAAGTCTCCTGAAACCGTGAACTAAATTAAAACTTTGCTCCTTTAATTCGCGAGTGTGGGGCATTATGTCTCAGTGACAAGAAGCTGACTAACACATAGGCTGAGCCATTCCTGAGACAAAAGCTGTGTTAGTCAGATTTCCATGACTATAACAAAGTATCTGAGGTAGGCAACTTATAAAGAAAAAAACATTTATTTTGGTTTGTAATTGTGAAGGTTCTCCTCCATGGTCTCTTGGTGCCCTGGCTTTGGGTCTGTGATGACACAACACATCATAGTGGGAGCACACAGTGAAGCAAATCATGCATAGGGAATGAGAGAGTGAGAGGCTGGAGTCCATCACCTGCTGCAAAGACACGCTCAGGAGGGCTTCTCTTCCTCCCCAGGTCACATGGCTTCTGTCGTGTCCCCTCAGTGCTACTCTGGAGACCAAGAGTTCAACATTAGGCCTCTGGGGGGCATGGAAGATCCCAAGTGTGGATGCTACCAAAAATATTTAGGTTTATAAAGTTGTATCTCAGAAGACCAGTAGCAGTATTCTTTTCTGGATTGTAGTCACTATTTTCACACCTAGATTTTGCTATGTTCAAATTCACTAAAAACTTGAAATTTAGATTTTTAGTGTTTAAATTTTTAATGACCAGAAAGAGGTATTCATGCATATCCAAGCAAAATAAACTTCTTCACAGCATACTAGAACTTGCTTCATGCTCTCACCCTCATTATATTTCTTTTTCTTAGTAATAAAACATTTATAAAGTTGTATGTTAAAATTCAAAATTAATGACTTGTTTCTGTTTTACTTCCCGTAAATATCCAAGAGAAAAATATTCTGGCTCTTGAGACATGAATAAATGTATTATATAATACAACTTCTAGAAAAGTTCCAAAACCTGGTAGTATTTATGGCAGTAACCATTTATGGAATCATAAGAGTTTAGAGGAGTAGGTAGAAAATAATTAGAAAAAAATAATTTTTTGCAATACAAGTGTCTGAGGAATCTGAAAAACAGTTGTATTTGTTTGTACAAGACAATGTGCAGAAGTTCATTTTCTATGCTGTTTCCTTTGTCACACAATCTAAAAGTCCTCTAAGAGCATGTGTTTAGATGATTAATTAAAATGAAGAGCCACTTAGACATGGGTATTTGAGAGGTGCAATCTTAGATCTCCTTTTAGGAGTATGAATCTTTTTCTGAGAGTCTTTTCCAGACCCTGACTGCCTAAGCGGAGTGAAAGAAGGACGAGGGAATTCTGTGAATGCCTTCAACTGAAATCACAGCAGGGCTTCCCTGAGGTGGCTGAATCCATAGGATGCACAGACTGTCACATACGAAAGGCCTGGGGGAGGTGGTTCTAGTGTGTTAAATCACCACCTCCAGCAGCAGAGCTCAGAAGCCTGTCCTCCTCATCACCTGTCCCTCAAGTCCACACCAGGCCTCCCATGAGGCAGGAACAGCATCCCACGTCATCCCTTCATCCTTCCTGTTAAGTTCCTCCCTCCAGGGAACACCTACCAGAGGCAGTCACAGGCAAGAACAATAAAGAACAATAGGATTGTCTTACAGGATTATGCTAAATTCTACCTTGGAGAGAGGGCAGGTGATGAGGAAGACAGGCTTCTGAGCTCTGCTGCTGGAGGTGGTGATTTAACACACTGGAACCACCTCCCCCAGGCCTTTTGTATGTGACAGTCCGGGCATCCTATGGATTCAGCCACCTCGGGGAAGCTCTGCTGTGATTTCAGTTGAAGGTATTCACAGAATTCCCTCGTCCTTCTTTCATTCTTCTCAGGCAGTCAGGGTCTGGAAAAGACTCAGAAAAAGATTCATACTCCTAAAAGGAGATCTAAGATTGCACCTCTCAAATACTCATGTCTAAGTGGCCCTTCATTTTAATTAATCATCTAAACACATGCTCTTAGAGGGCAAAAAATTACGTGGATGCCTGACATCTTGTCAGGTTAATGATAAACAAATGAGACTGACAAGTCTTTCACACTGAATGATGATGCAAAGAGTAGAAATATGCCCATGAAATTTCTCCCCAGTCAATGTATATATTTTACAGTATAATTGTTTTTATAAAAAAGCTTACAAATATATTCTAAAATAGATATAAAAGAAATGCCCATGCATATGGACTGAAAAATACACAGCATATATTACTCAATGGGTGCAGTCACATACCTCACAAGATATAATAGAATTTAAGAACTTATAAAAGCAATTATTCTTTGAAAATATTGATGATTTGTTTTACAATATTAATTTATGGAAAACAAAAAATACAAAGCCATTTGAGGTAGACTTTTTGTAAACTCCTGCAATAAACTTTCTACAAATGTCAAAACTATTATTTCCTTTTCCAGAAAGGACAGTTTGTATAAAGTGTTCGGCTAAATTACATCTTAGGGTTGCTCTCCTTGCCATGACCCAGGTAGGCCCCATGGGAGCCCTGAAGACAGTTTATGAGCTGCATTGGCATAAGCATTCCTTCCTCAGGGCTCAAATCCAGCCCAGAGGCAACAGTTCTGGGAATCATGGCCCTAACATTCCTAAAATGTTATCTACAAAACAGCTAAGAATCAATGTGCTACAAAGATTTTTCAATCAACTACTAACAATACAAAATAATAGATGGTTTTATGAGGATTTACTTGAAAGATTTTTTTTAATTCCCAAACTCTCATATCTAAAAGGGTTTCAATCTCCTCAATTTGAAAATAAACAAAGATCCAGAAATTTCAAAGCTCAATGGAGGTCACATAGCTGGTGGGTGAAAGCACACACATACCCGCACACATGATCAAAAGAACAGCAAACAAAAACAAAACAACAAAAAATCTACGAAAACTCACCCAGTTTCTGTGGCTACTAGTTTGGTGATCTCTACTATTACATCAAAGGCTATTTCACCTATTTTTATAAAAAAACTTATCTTTGACTGCATTGTAGTATTTGAGAGCTGTTACTGATTCATACCAGTATGGATATCCTTTACATATAATAAGCCAGTGTTGTCGACAAATCTATTGAAAATAACAAGAGAAAACATAGTAGCTACGGAAGATCATTTATATTATAGTTTTATAAGTCCTATCCATTGCATGATTATCTAGGAAATTGTTTCGTTGTCTTGTTATGACTTGGTTTTCCCTATAATACAGAGAGGATAGGAACAAATACTCTGAGGAAGAAACCTGAAAAACCCGAGGCTTATTTTGTAGCATTATAATATAAATTCTAGCAATCTATTGCTTGCTGATTAAAATGACTCTGGACTGGTTTCTTCAGCTCAACTTCAGCATATGCAGAGATGGGGACGGCTATCACAAAGAGAATGAGAGATGCGATGGTAGTTGGTATTGTCTTCCCTAATTTGGAACTTGAGGACCTAAAAAGACTCCATCATCCTGTAATGATTTGATTAGTTCTATAATATGCAATAAGTATAGAAAGTGGGTGAAGTTAGGGACAACTATTTGTAAGAAGCTAGATAGATAAGGTAGATCTCCAGTGGACTTGCTTTGAAATCTGTATTTCTTTAAATTGTTTTTTTATTTTTTTTAAAAATGTTCTGTTCTGTTTTGATATGGTTAACCTTATCCTCTTAGAGATGTAAAACAAATAGGTGGGACTGATAATCATATTACAGAGCTTTTGTTCGGCCATAGAGCAGAATGGTTTGTAGGGTCATTTTTTTTTGAATGTCATTCTATATACTTTAATTCTATAACCTGAACAGCCATTTCGAAGATGACAAATTGTAACTTATCAACTGGCAATTTCTTACCTTTTGTTTGTCTGTAATTTAGAATTATTTCTACCCTTTTTTTTAAATTTCCATGTATTTTTTTTGTTTCCTTTTCTTAAAATAAAAAAAAAAGGCTATTTCAATCAGTATAGTAATTTTAATTATTCATGTTAATGATGCTGTTATGGCTTGTGCCTAGATGTCCCCCTAAAGCTTTATGTGACCATAGGTGGCGCTTTTTGGAGGTGGCTGAGTCTAGAGTGTGTGATGCTGGGGTCAAGGATGTGCACTGGAATTGACGCACAGTGAGATGCCAGGATTAAGGCTGCCCCACACTGCGTGTGAGTGCTGCCGCCCTAAGGATGAGTAGCCTGGACATGATATAAGTGACAGAAGAGATTCGCTGCTTGTCACTTGCTGCTGTTCTGTCTTTTGCTTACCACAAACTGTTTCTCCTCTTCGATGCCCCTCTGCTGTGCTACCCTGGCTTGGAGGTAGCTGATTCTGGATGGAAACCTCTACAAACTGTGAACCAACATAAATTTTTCCCCCTCTAACTTTAAGTGTCAGATGTTTTGCCTCAGCAATGAGAAAAGTAATCCAGACAAAAGTTTAAAATGACAAAATGTAAACAAAGCTGAAATGAAAATGAATTATCCCACCTCAAATGTTGAGGTTTTACTCATAATTGTCAAAATTTGGAAGCAAAAAATATGTTACTTAATTAGTGAATGAATAGACTATGGTCTATCCAGACAGGAGACTCATGATCACACAGATGTGCATGATTAATTTTGTCAACCTGTGTAGATTAAGAAACACCTAAGAAATTGGTAAAGTAAACTTCTGGATATCTTTGTTAGTTTCCAGAGACAACTGGCATGTGGAACAGCAAACTGAGGAATGAAATCTTCCCTGAATGTAGGCAGCACCATCTGTTAAGCTCTGGGTCCAGGTGAAACAAATGTAGGAGGAAGCCCTCCTATACAAGCTCTTCTCTCCACTTCCTGGCTGCCACGAGGTGATCAGGGTTCCTCTGCCCCACTCTCCCACTGTAACATTTCTGCCTTGCACAGGGCCCAAGGTGAGGGAACTGCTGACCATGGACAAAACCCACTGAAACCGTGAGTCAAAAATAAACCTTTTCTCCTTTAAGTAGTTGCTCTCAGGTGTTGTGTCACAGTGTTGGAAAGCCAAATAACACACGATGAGCTGTCAAACTATACAAATATTGATGCTACTATTGGCAGGAGTTTAGGGATCCTGATACCTCTTGATATACTCCAAGGTGAAGAACAAGTTAAAAAATCTGCCTTTCCACTGCCAAACATTTTGTTATATGAGTGGCTGCTTTTCTGCATGGAACAAGTTTGAGTATGGTTCATTGTCAAGTTGCAGCTTCAAATCCTAATATCATGACAGGTATTCAGAAGACTCCTTTGAAAATTCTGTAATGACCAATTGCTAAAGGAATCGGAAAATTGTCAGGCAATTATTGCTCAAGGGGTGGCATCATAAACTAACCATGAAGCATGGGTGATACTCCTTATGAAATATATACTATTTACAAAATATTGCTAAAAATAGAAATTCCATTTGACCCATGTAATTCCTTTCTAGACATCTTCCCAAAAGTCAACGACATCATGTTATGGTGATACATGTGTACTCATGCTGACAGCCATATAATTCATAATAGCTAAATCTTGAAAGAAGTCTAGATGTCCAGAAGCAGGTCAGTGAATAAAGAAAATGTGGTGGTGATACACAATGGAGTACAGCTTTGCTGTAAAGAAAGATAGACTCAAGTCATTTGTAGGAAAATGGTTGCACCCTGAGACCATAATGTTAAATGAAATAAATCAGATAAGTACAAACCTTTTTAATTTTCAGAGACAGATTATTAGGATATTTCTCAGGCTGATCTCAAATTCATGGGATCAAGTGATTCTCCTGCCTTAGGCTCCTGAGTGCCAGGTTGCAGGTACATCCAGTCAGTACAACCCCTGATGGAGTTTATTACTGTCTTCCCCATACAACATATCTCTCGCGATTCAGAACATAATCATACCTTTTTGCTTATTAGTGTTATCTACATCTTCATTTCTGAGTGGTCATATTAGGTGGCCCTGCTTGGCTGATACAGATTTGGTTAACTTTTACCATTGATAGGGAAATAGATTAGAGGAAGAAATGTCATTCCTAGATATGCAGCCCTGGTAGAATTTATACCATGGATATTTACCTAAGTCTGGGGAAAGAAGGAAAGGATTGCAGATTTTTGCAATCTAATAAGTCAAAGTAACTAAAAGCTTATAACGTGTATGTCTTTTTTCTAAGAGTGAGAAAAGAGATGATTTGTGTTGGAAAATGTGAGTAGGTGAGGACAGCAAGATTATTACAGGCAGCAGAAAGCTAATTCTTGAGTGTATGCTGTCCATATTAGAAATTACTTTTTCTCTACATATTAGCTGTCTGTAATAACTGGTCCCCTATGTAAGCGTAAGAGTTTTAGTGAACAGAACTCAGTTAAAACATACACTCCATGCATGGTCTCATATTGTCTTCCAAATAAACTGTCATTGAAGACTTTCTGTATTTGGAAAATGGTCAATGTTTTTTAAGGATAATACATGTTTAGGAGTCTGGATGGAAAGAGAACTGATTCTTGTCTCTGCTGGAGTGATTGGAGTCAAATCTCTTGTATTCAGGCAACAAGCAGAAAATGTCATCAAAATCGTCAGTGATAGAACACAACATGATTTAGAGTTTTCCGGCTCATTTTCCTCCAAAAGAGAAATACTGAAGAAGTGAGGTTGAGAGTACAGACCACTCAGTAGCACACAGGAGCATGTCACTGCTTGTTTTGCTTTTACAGGCGCTAAAATATTTAACACGGCTGTGTCTGGGTGTTGTTGGCTGACAGCCTTAAACACGCACAAGCTAATCATCTGAGACCCCTCACTTCTCTCCCGCTGCGCCTCCCACAGGCCTGCACGTTTCCAGCCTCACTGAGCCTCCATCTGATCTCCTGGCTCCGTGGAGAGCTCTGCTTTCACTCAGGTTACCGGCATGGTTACAGTACCTACCAGAAGTACACGGTAGAATATTCAGGAGGTACAGAAGGTCATGTAGAACAAAAACAACATCTCTCTTAGGAGAGTGGCCTCTGTTACTCTGTCCCCCACCCCTGAGATGACCATGGGTTTTGGTCATATGTGGACCCCTGCAGAGGCGTCCTGTGGGTGTGTAAATGCACATGCACAGATGAGCAGATCAGCTCCCTGCCCCTGCCAGTGCTGGCCTGATCTGCCTGTGGTCCTGCCCCTGTGATATTTGGGTCTGTACTTGAATGCATCATAAAATCTCCCTAAACTTTTTTTCATCTATAAAATGGGAGTGTAGACACCTGTTTTTCAGAGAAGCCATACAATATACAAAAAAATCCACAAAACTTATTATCTGATAAATGTTGACTGTATTTCTTAAAATGCGCCTTATTCTAACTCCTGGGATTATCAGAAAAGTTCAGGAGTCAGAATACTGACATTGGCTAATAAAGTCTATAAAAACCAAACAGTCCTGAATTTATCATTAGGAATTGCTTCAAATTTCAACATGATATTTTAAGAAGATTATTAGTTTTAGTAATTGAAATACAAAGTGATGAAATATGCAAATTTTAGCTGCCTCATGCCAGTAGGTTTAAATGAATCTCCAAGAAGTTTAGAAAGAAGACACATAATTAGGCGTCTACAAGTAACTCCCTATGCTGTTTAAACAAAGGACACGACAGAGCCAAGGAGATCGAAGCACATGAAGTGAGGAAAAGGCATGTGGAGCTGTGGAAGGAGAGAGAGCAGAGTGAAGAGGCTGGGCTCTTACCTCAGAATGTGGTTCTGGTCGGAGCTCAGAAACCCAGCATAATGATATAGACAAGAACAGTAGAATCTGGGCACAGGAGGTTTCAGCTGAGAAAAAGGATTCCACTGGCACTTGGCCTAGAGGCCATATGTGTGATGCACTGGCAGAATATTCATCTACATTCTGCTCATGGCTTGAGACTTTAGAGGAGACTAAGATTGAAGGTTTTTATAATTTAGCTCTAAATATCTCCCCACAGCCCCATGTGTTTGTCATGCATTCAAAGGTTGGGACTTTAGGAAGGAGATTCAGTTATGGGGAAGCTATAGCGGACTTGCTGGGTATTGGAAGTCTGACCTTCAAGGTTCCATCTCCATCCCAAGCTTCTCCTTCTTTCCCTGCTTCCTGGCACCTGTAACATGAGCAGATTTTTCTCTGCCCAAGCCTTTCCATTATGCCATTCTTCCTTTGAGCATGCCAAACATAGGCTGACACTTCTAAAATCTGTGAGTCAAAATAAATTTGTTCTCTTTAATTTTTAGGTATTAGTTATTGTATCCCAGCAATGAGAACAAGACTAAAGAAAGGGTGACAGACTAACTAATTTGGCAGAGGAAATTTCAAGACAGCCTGACATTTGAGCTGTGGCATGGGCACTGCTGGCTGCTTTTATTAAGATTTACAGTGAAAAGCAGGGGCAGAAGACAGGACAGAAAAATTTGATAAATTCCAATTTTCACCCCCAAAGAACCATGTATAAAGTCAAGGACAAAGTGAATTTGACTGATGAAGAAACTAGCACTATTAAAGAGAAACCAACTACTTTGTACATAGACAAAAAGAAAGATGCCTTGAGGGCACCTCAGGAATCAGTGAGGCTTAACTCAGGCTCAAGGGTACAATAGTATAAATCTACCCTGTAAGAAGAGAATGCCTGAGATTCCTGCTAGTGAAGGGCTTCCTAGATGCTCAGAGGCTGCTGAAACCATGGTCCAAAGAGGGCTGGCTACTGCTTGAGCTGTTAGCTGATGATAGCATCCTCCACCTCATGCTACCAGAACCAGAATACTGGGCTGAAAGTACAGAATGCTGGTTTACCAGTGGAATACAACAGTTATGGGGATAGGAAAACTCCCACTTAGATTTCAAAGAAAGGTCTAGGAAGCCAGGCAAGGATGAAGCCAAAGATGCAGTGAAAATCCCAGGAAGTTGAATATGGCAAAAATGAAGAAGGTCTGCAAAGAAAATCTTCAGTCCAAGAGTGGAGTGAGCCCAGGAGAGAGGTCCCATGGGCTACAGTCAGCACGGTCACAGAGGCGGTCCTGGCCAGCTCTCTCTGGAATGCACATTTTACCACTATGTGATCTGGATGCTTCATATGATGCTAGGTGAATTAATGTTTGCCATGTTGGGTTTCAATTTTGCTTTGGTAAAATTCTTTTCTGTATCATTTCTCCCTTTTGGAATGGTATATTTATCCCATGCTATTACATGTTGACATTTTAAACTTGATTTTAATTTTCATAGAGATTCTTAGCTAAGAGTTTGCCATGAACCTCAAAAGAGATTTGTACTTGAACCTTTGAAGCATACTGAACTGTTGGGATTTGGGGGAAAGGATTATTGCATTATTGTACCAGGGATGGTTGTATTATGTTAGATGCAAGTCTGACCTGCCATTGTCTTTATGTGGAGATGCAGTTTAAGCAGATGTGTTTGGATACCAAGTTGAAGCTAGACTTTCAACTTGATTGTTTTAGGGATCTGCACCAGTGATCAGTGGAACACACTTATGGGTGTGTTATGGAGCTGTCATGTTGCTTTTTCCTCTCTGGCATTCTTCCTCTGCTCTGCTTCTAGTCCTCCATGAACTAAGCAGCTCTCCCATGCTGTCTTTCCACCACGATGTCTAGTTTGGAGCCAGCCAATCTTGCACTGAAACCATAAGAAAATTTAACCTTTCCTCTTATAAGTTGTGGGTAGTGGGTGCTATTTTTCAGGAATGAGAAAACTCACTAATAGAAGGAACGAGAAGTCAGCTAAGATGTCCTTAACATTTCTCTCTGCCTGACATCTTAACAGGCCTATTACTTCAGCCCCTGATCTCACCCTTCTGAAAGCATTTGTGTAGTTGATGTCCAATTGTAAATTCTTTTTCTGTCCTTCTGAGATATAAATCTTCTTAAAACTCCTTGTGGATTTATAGTCCAGGGATGTCTTCCTCAAAGACCTGAGAGCCATCTCTTGGAAATGAAATCAG